ACAGCCCGGCAGCAGCTACTGTGCTTTAACCTTCCCGAGTGCAACTCCTGCTCCTCAGCGACCATATCCTCGGAGTCTCTTGTTGACTGTGGCAGTGATTATAGTGATAATGACGATGATGACAGTGACGGTGATGAGTATTAACAGGCCAGTTGGGGGGAGATCTCCCTGGGCTGGGTTCAAAACGACAGCACTGTGCCAGGGCATGCACACGCACCCCTCCTTTGACATCATGTCACATTATCTCCTCTTCTTCTTCTTCTTCTTCTTCCTTTCTATTTCCCTCTACATTGACAGCCTCATGCCACAGCGCTTTAGAAAACCAGTCACAGGTGACAGCCTCTCTGACTCTGTCTCTCTCCATCATCCTCACACTCACTTTTGTCTTCTCCCCTCATCATTCACCACCCTCTGCGCCCTTCCTCCGTTTCTGAATGTTTTGTCTTTCCTCTGTATCTCTGAGCACTCTCCTTCACCTGAATCCCTCCCCCATGAATCGGTCTCACGCGTTTCCTCTCATGCTTGTTCTGCTCCCCCATGGGGTAATTGCTCAGAGCCATTTTTATGACTATAATCGAGGCCAGAATGCTTATGCCTCTAGATTTCTCCTTGCCTGTGTCACAGCGGCAGCACCGGGGAGAGGAAGGCAGATAAGACCAGGAGGACGGGAGGAAACTCACTAGTCGATTGTAATTAGAGTCCTTATTTCGCCTATGGAGGGGGAATGGACACGATCGCCTGCAGAGAGAATTCAACCTTTCTGCTGTGCTTATGGCATGAAATTGCAAAACGGCAAAAAACGTAGCCTTGACGCTTTGGCCCGACCCCTACCATTAACCCCTTAAGCTGGGTCTCTTAGACAAAGATTACTTTGGCCTCATTATAACGTGATAGAGGCTTGCATGAGTATCTCGAGTGTGTAATATTTCAGCCAGCTCATCAAGCTCTTAAGAGGCTGCTGTAGCTGTAGCACTCAAAGCAAGGTCAGCTCACTCCGTCTGAGTGCCTGTGCCTGATTTGGATGAAACGGGGTCACAGAGTGTAACTCAAGTTTGCCACGGAGAAGCAGGAGGCAGACAGATTTTTCATGCGTAATGGACTCCATCGAAGTGGGAAAATTCCACTGTGGTGTTTTCTGGGAGGCGGTTCGCCTTAGAGACCCTTTTTTGCCAGCCGTGTGGTTGATATAGGCATGTCCAGGCACACCTAATAACAGCATTACTCTGAGGGCATGGCCTCATGACGGGGAAGAAGAGAGCACCAAAACACAGCGTTTCCAGGGGCAATAAACCTCAGTCTTGATACTAGCAATGATCTGCTCAACTACCCTTTTGATTGCAAGGACTAATTTCACCACAGAGTTAAGTTGATGTTTGAGGGAAAATCACTCCACAACACAAAGAGGGGAAACCGCCATATAAACTCCCTGCACTGATACCATCTGAAGCTCTTATTGCTGTAAACACAACGAAAGTATGGGCCAAATAAAAGGGCCTGCATTTAAACTGAGCTTCTGACATCTAACCTTTTTAACAGAGAAAAACAAATGTGGGGATGACAACAAAACATAACTTATGTGATCCCTCTGGATGATTTTGCATTAGCCAGCTGTTTTTTCCAGGTAAAAACTGTTTATTTCTGACATTTTAATAAAAACCTGCTGAGTTACATCTTAGAGTTAGGGCTGCTCAATTAATCGTATTTTAATCGCAATTACGATTTTGGCTTGCAACGATTATGAAAACAACATAATCGAAATAAAACGATTATTTTATTTTATTTATTATTATTTTTATTTTTTTATTGGTTTTTCAATTTTTATATTTAAAGTTCAGGGTAATCAACTGTTAAAAACATACTGTTCACATTTTTTTTTCTCCAATAAATGGATGTTTTCAAAGTAAATGGATAATCGCTTTTAATAATCGTGATATCAATTATTGACCCAAATAATCGAGATTATGATTTTTGCCATAATCGAGCAGCCCTACTTAGAGTCCTTTATGGCTGCAAATGTGCAGTGTTTCTGCAATACCCCTGACATTTAAAATGTGACGTTAATAAACCTTAATATGCCAACTGTACAAAGCAAGGTTTACCCCCCCGAAGCCAGCTGTCATTAGGAGCCTCATCATCACGTACTCACACTCATGAAGACACTAAAGATGTGTGTACATTAAGGAATGCTCGCTGTGGATGAAATCCAAGTTGACGCAGCTAAAGGGCCCCCAGGTTCTGCAGCTAGGACTCTCCTGGGAGATGCAGTATGCAGAGACCAGGGCAGAGTAATAACTGAGATGTTCTTTAAAGACCTGATCCTACACTTATTGATGCCGGCTCAGTGGGTGCCAAAGGCTGCCAACGCTCTTGAGTACTGAATTAAATGTGGCCTATTCTTAAACAGCGAATAGGTCGGATCAGATGTGGTGCAACTGCCAGGATTCTTCCACATCTACAGCCTATGCCACTGTGCATTTACATTTGTGCAAAGAATCACATTAAGACACATGCCAGAAATGCTTTTATGAATAAATATTTAAAAACACAAGGAGACTTTTGCCAGCATCAAAGTTCTTCATTTAGTTTCAAACCATAAAACTACATAGTGTGTGGTGCATCTCAATTTGCAACATCCCAGGGAGTGCAGTATTGTCTTATTGATACAGAAGGAAAACTCACACAGTTCTCATTTTCCATGACTTAGCTACAACAGATGTCTGTCTGACAGAACATCTTTAGTTCTGATTAAAGAGATAAATAGAGTGTGTTGCCAGTGAGTGACATCGAAGCTCTGCATACACAGCAAACCACCAGACACAGTCATTCTAGATCAACGACCGAAGCAAGACCGTCTAGTCGTGGACCAATACCTGAACTTTTTGTTCTTATATATATATATACAACAATATTAGTTTGCAATGTCCAAAATGATGCAGCCCTACTACAAATGGTATTCTGCTAGAGGATATTCTTATGGCACTACTGAGTGTTGACCACCCTTCTCTGTTTTGATTCAAATACATTCCAAAGACATTTGTGGTTTTTGCAAAAATAAAAACCAAAAAAAGGTCAAATACATTTCACAAAGGACGTTGTGCTTGCTGAATCCACACAAAGGACTGTCGGGCTGAGTGCCACTGCCTCCCACTGCTTCAATTACACTTAAGATGAAACAGATGAAAGAAACTAGGTCTTAGATAATCCTCGAAACTATCCCTTGGGTTAAATTAAATTTGAATAAGATAATAAATAGTGAACAGGGGACATTTTGAATTACAATACATTTTAAGGCTCAGTCAGGCTTGAGAAATAGCTTGTGTGGTTCTTTGAAGCAAGTTGTGCAGTGCACAAGAAGAATCATTGACATTTAAACACTTAAATGGAGTCTGTAATAATGAATATGTCATCCTGATGGTGGATCAGTACTATTAAAAAGGCACAGAGCAAAGACAGGACCCTAATAACCAGCAACCGCAGCACGACAGAACCAAATCCTTAAATGAATGGCAGAGAGACTTACTGCTTAATAATTGTCAGCAGCAAAGACAGAGGCAAGACACAAGCCAAGCACATGAACACACAAGGGGAGTGCAATCATAAGATGTTGGTGAGTCATCTGTCCTTGTTTGGGCAAAGCCTGGGCAGCTGTAACAACAACAGTGACAGAAAAAGAAGTTTGGGAAGATTGACAAAGTAAACAAAGGACGAAAAGGAGTAAAGAAACAAGTGAAGGGGGTAGGGAACTCAGGCAATGAAAAGGTCGGGAAAAAAAGGACAAAAAGAAAAGCCATCGTTAGAGCACTTACCAAACACCCAGTCGTGCTAAGCCCCAGCCCTAACTGCACCCACAGCTACAGCACAGCATGTTCACATCGACCGCAGGATCCCTCGAAGGTCTGCCTCTCAACAATCACAGGAAAACCTCTCGCGAAAACACATAAGCACGGTCTGTGACCTCCTCCATCTTTTCACTCACACTCACCCTCTGTTTCACCTCTCCAACTCCGACAGAAACTGAGCAGAGCGATCATTTTCCATCGTCTCAACTCTTTAGCAGGAATTCCCTCTGAGGCATTTCTCCAGCTAGTCACTCTGAAACAACAGCTCAGACAGGCTACTCGCTCTTCCAGCGTGCCTGCCTGGATATCTGCTCCAAACGGACGAGCCGCTGAGGAATACTCTCGGGAAGGAAGTGACATCGACAGGTGCTCCCTCCTTCCTTCCTTACTCGTGTAAACAATAGCCACTTTCCCGCAGCAAGCTAAACGACACGTCCCCGAGCTTATTTGAAATGAATCAAATGTGTTTTCTGGTGATTATTCTTTAACTGCAGCTCGAATGAATTGTCTTTCAGGGGGGGAAAGAAGTATATGAGATGTCACAGAGGGACATTAACATCATTAATAATGAGGAAAATCTATTAATCCCAATTTGCCCCCAGCTGGATTCTTAAGAATGGAGTGCTAGAGTAAATAAAGAGAGCATAAGGGAGTGTGCGTAACAAAAGACAGTGTGGATGAATCACAGAGTGAAGGCAGAGATTGAGTAACTCAGAGGGCACAGGCTCACCAACCCTGCGAGAAACTTTTTCCTGGTTGAGCACTGATGTAAGCCAGGCCACGACTGCAGGCAATAAACAAACAATGGACCCTAGTCAACCTTATTCCACCTCAGGAATAAAAACAAAAAAAGTCAGGTTCTGCTTTAAACAAAAGTCTTTCACTCATCCCACGTGCAATGAAAGGACAATATTCTACTTTTGACCGCCGTAGAGGTAAGCTGTACAATTACAGTGACAACAGGGTGTGTGGCACTAATATGAATTTCCACATACTTTACCCAGTGCATTTCTTTTTAGTACAATGTGAGTCACCGGACAATTTAGCCTTCTATAAATATCCCTGTACATAAACAGTTTGTAAAACATGTATCACTGCAGTATGAGAGATGTGACATGAATGAACAGGGTCATAGTGGGGTATATAGAAGAAACACTTTACCTGTTCTTTGACGGAGGCCAGGATGTTGTTGGCGGTGTTGTCAGGCTCCATGTTGCGGCCAGTTGAACTGTCGCGGATGGTCAGCAGAAGCCCCTCCTCCGTCACTGGGCTCTGCTCAGGAGCTGGCATTCCTCCTGTTTGGACAAGCACACACACACACACACTGGTCACCAAAAGCGCGCTTCAGAAAAAAGAGAAAAAAAGAACACACTCTTGTACACATACCAGACTGTGCACAGACGAGTGCAAGCACACTCCACTTGCAAATACACATCTGAGTCAACCACTCCCTGATTCACACAGGCGAGTGATGTAGTGAAGTGACTATCAATGGTCACACAACACCACAAGCAATACACAAACACACACCCACACATGCCATATGGCTCAAAGAGGAAGAGACTGTCAATATTTCACGTCGGTGACAGTGCAACTCGGAGCCATATGGCCTTGAGACAACACACAAGTGAAATGATCATCTGTGTATGTAATACAGTCAAATAAGAAAACACAACACAAACAGAACGGAGGCTGACGATCCTGGTGAAGACACACAATAATGCAATAAAAATCCAAGCAATGCAAAAGCAATACAAAGCCTATGTGTGCACACTGCACAGATGATGAATACTATATGTGTTTGTTGTAAGAAATACAGTAGGGAGGATGATAGGAAGAGCAGACCCATGAGACAAATTTAAAAGGGAAAAAAAGCAGCCCAGCAAATGGGACAAGGTGTCCATGTGTCTCTGGCTCTCTCTGGTCCCCAGGATTGAAATGAGAAAGCAGAACAAATAGTTATGGTCTCATTATATCTGTTGGCAGGGACAGTTTCAAGGGAACGCTGCTCAAGGTGGATCCATATTTACTAGAAGAAGCCTGTTGAGCCAGACAGAGCGAGCTGAAGGCGGACTCATCGCTCAGGGCTGCAGCAGCAGACAAAAACAATAGGGGCTAATAACAAAGAAGGTATGTGGCTTCAGGGAAACAGGGATTTTACTATGACTTTTACTGCCTTAGAGATCCACTGCCACTGTCATCGTCAAGATACAAACATAAGGACATATTCCAACTCTACATTTCTACACATATATCTTGACCTCCATGCTGTACTTAACTGAACCACACAGAATGCAGTCAAGGTGATAAGTGTGTAGTGATATATGAAGAGGATGTGTATAGGCTAAAACCACCATGAAATAACCCTTATGGAAATCTAAGAAAAAGCCCTGCTGCAGGAAAATGCTCCCTCCATGAAACTGTCTATTACAGTCCTCCTATGCCATAATGGCAGCCTCGGGGTAAAAGCAAGACTTAATATAAAGGTAGCTTAACTGAATAAGTATATTTTGTGCTGACAGACATTTAAAAAAGGTTACAGGGTCATTTGATGTCATGTAAAAGCGCTTGCCTACTTGTATCAGGCTGCTGCACACACACACACTCACACAAGTAAGGAATCATTTAGCTTAGGCTGACAGCCAGTTTGTGTGAGCTGGTAGGGTTGTTTACAGTGAGAACACAAAAGTTTTGGCCAGCGATGACACTTTGGAGGGGGGGTAGGAAGTATGTGGGAGGTCCAACAGACTTTTTTGGCGATATGTGACCCTGAAGTATTCTAGGAGTCTGTCACCAAGGCAGCGTGAGCATTTCAAGGTGTCTGAGCTGAACGGGGTCATGTGCCAGCCCTGGTGTTAAATGACAAATAAGGTTTTTACTACTCCTAAGTATGTTAGTCCACACAGGATATTCCATGTATTCCCCTGTCAGTCTCCCGAATTCCTATCCTGCTCATTCAGTGTTGCAACACACAGCCCGACTCCCTCCCACTTCCACTGCAGCCTTTGAATCAAGGACAGGGCTCTCGATTCCCAGAAAAACAGGCGACAGGAAACGGGAAAAGCTGTTTCGATTTGACAGAACTTCTCCTCCCTGACTTTTACAAAAACACTAAGAGAACAACACAGTAAGGACTGGCTGAGTGCACATTTTAGGCTGACAGAAGTTGCCAACCCGGTCGGGGTGGACAAAATCCTTTCTGCCTTCTCTCTCTGTCTACTCACAGGAGGACAAAGAGAGGTGTGCAGCTTTGGAAGACAGTTTTTGTCATGTAAATCACCACCGATTAAGTATTAAATATCCTTTGCCTTATCGTGGTTGACCTTTCCATAACCCTTCAGTATTATACAAAATGAGCCATCCATCGAAAAAATGACTTCCTAGCGTTTAAAAAAGAAAAGAAAATCTACGCATATAATTTATTCAAAAGAAAACATTTCTCAGCAGTCTAAACAGCAGCACATTGCACAGTTTGCACTAAGCAGGCTGTAAGAAATAGAAAAAACACACAGAAACCACAGAATACAAACAGTAAAGATAACCTTTTTTAAAGAACCATTTAGCAAAGATAAATAGCAATGTCTATGTGAGCCTACCTTTGAAATTCCCCATTATATCTGGTCCACAAAGATTTCTCTCTGTTTATCCTAGAGTTCTCAGCCGCCATGAGATTGGAGTGAAGGCAATGATGTAGCTGCCAAACTACCCTAGCTTTATAGGCACACGGCTGACTGGTTTTTCGACATTTCTCTTAAAGTTTCCCTCCAAATGCAGAGGGGAAAAATAACATCGCTGAACTTCCTCCCGGTTAAAAACGGTTATCATGTAAAATTTTAAGCACATGCACAAGACTGGGAAGGAGGTAACAGGCGGTAACAGGCCCAATCTGAGCAGCTTTTCAAGGCTGTCATTAGGTTAATGCCTAGGGAGCGCACTGCGTGGTTCCCATAGAGTAAAGATGACCTCATTCTGGTCTAAACAATGAGGTAACCTAGTGTCTAATTATTAGCATTAAGGTTATTTCCCCACACTAAGCAGAAAATAAACACTGCATGGCTTTGAATGTCGCCAAAAGCAAAACAAACCTGATCATTTTGAACAATCTCTTTTCATTGGTCTAACTATTCAACATGCAAACGTCTGAGTCTCTATGAGTAGACACTCTTTCTAGTCAAAGCTAAATCTCCACTTTAGAGTAGTATTATCCTCAATGCCAAGTCTGCCAACACACAACCCCACCCCGACTCGTCAGATCACATGATCTGATCTACTGACCTCAGTCTCCGGCCACTCCTCCGAGCTTCTTACTTACATAATCCTTCTTTCCGTGACTTGCCTTCTCCCAGATTAAATGTAGATCATGAGTAAAGGAAGAGAGGGTAGATGGAAGCTGTAGTGCAATGTGTTTTAAATTCTGACCAGTTCTGTTAAAGTGTCAAACTGAAATAGAAGATCATGTTTCTGAAGGGGAATGTTGCTTTAGTGAGATCTACTGTCCCAGATTCAAATACTGCCTTGTTGCATCACTTCCATCTACAGACATGAATTCATCCGTTCTCTAATCCCTCTGAAAGCCACCTGTGCCTTGTGTCACCTTCCCCTAGGAGCACTGCAGCAGCAAATATATTATCAGCTGTTACACAGGCTACTTTTATAGGCATACAGGAAACCAGGTTACTGGGAGAAATCAGGTTAAAACAAAAAGACAAGAGGATATGTTAATCTATATGCACCATAGCAACACGGTTATTGTAAGACCTGTGTTTACATTCAGCTGGACCGATGCGCACACTTTTCTCCAAGGGCATATTTTAAGCCAAAACTGCATATTTAAGTGTATGAGTGATTTGTTATTCTTAACCCTGAAGAATAGTGTGCTTTTCTGTTAAGAGCATTTGGATTGATGGTGTGGTGAAAGGTTGGGATTTTATAGAGGGAGGCACACAGTTTCCTTTACTGTTTGTATGTGAAACACCCTACCATTTATTAAAGTTTCGGTTTTAGCCGTATTTTGGACTCTGGAATTTGGAAGGGTAAACCTCTATGAGTTACTGTGTTTCCTTTCATGTTGCTGCACTGCTCTCCAATTGATTTGATAAGTTACCTTTAGTAATATAGACTTTTATCAGCAATATTTAAAAACAACTTTCAGAAACTAAAACTGTCAAGTTTGTATTAGGCTTACTGCTGGTGGTGTTACACACTGCAGTTGATTTGGGATCCATACAGATCCCTGACTGATGCATTCCTTTATATATCTCACTTTTATTTCAAGAAGTGCAACTTAAACGATCGTTTGTCAATCAGCAGAGAAGAAGAACTTTCTTCAGGAGGCTGAATGACACAATTTCACAGACATTCAGCGCATATAAATGAAGATAAGCTGAGAAATTATTGTAAATTAGCCTACATTTCTATTTCAGCGGAGGCAGCACTGCAAATGATAATTGTTCCAACTTGCTGAGCTAAAGCGTTTGGTTAAAAGGTTACTTAACCTCTTTAGTTTTTAGGACCAAAAGAAGTAAACGGGTATTACCGTCTACTTAAAACTAGTTTTGAGTTCCATATTTTGAGTTGAGTTCCTAACCCTAACCCTATGTATAAGAGTAACATTTTGTATAGAAGCTTATAAATATTTTACAGCCCAAGACTTGTAAGCTTTCAGCGTATGCACCCCTCTGGATGTCTGCAACAAGCAAGGTGGTCAAACAAAGTGCATGCGTGATATACATATATCTAAGACGAACAATCATGAAGCGTGGTGCAGGTCTTACAGCCATTTGATCCATCTGGAGTATTTTTAATGAAAACCCACATGTTCTCAGGCCCCTGTGACACATAAGTTATCCCTTGGCACTTATCTAGAGTGACCGAGCAGCATTTTGTAGCATGTGAAAGCTTTGTGGGGAGAAATACAGTCCCATTTCTAATCTCTTAGCAGCTATAACGACATCCCCAAAGACCCACTATGCTTAATTGCGTCTTTCACACTGCATTTACTTCATTTAATTAAACTAACATTTGTGGTCCAGTATAATTGATCAGAATTCAATATGAACACAAATATATTTCAGCGTCAAGAAATCCCCGGGATGTAGACAGAAGTAGAACCTTCTAACCCTAACCCTAACCCTTTCATATACGGTCCAAAAACATTCAGGACAGCAGCATAACGTTTTCAGCATTAGAACATTCTGAAACAATTTCTGAAATCCCTGCAGAGTTCCCGTTAGCCGCTAATTACCGGACTATGACCGGTAAAATATGCTGAAGACCAGCAAATCTAAATCTCTCCGGTCAAAATGTCCGGTCAAAATAATTTCCCTTTAGCGCAATACCGCATCAGTTGCGCCACTTATGTGACAGACAAGAATAGTATGTGACAGACAAGAATAGTCAATTCTAATGTCTAACACTTAATGTGGAGAAAGAGATGTCCTGTATGGGTTGATTGTGAGTGGATATGTTGGTAATGCCTCGGGGTAAACAAATGCATAATGCTGCGCTATACTTTGTGGCCTCTACCGGTTGCATAGCGACGCTTATTGTTTAGGTGTCTTTTAATAAGCAGGTAGTCATATCATTAGCTAGAACTACCTGATCGATATGGACATAAACGCGAGTAAAGTCTAATCTGACGGGAGAGAGAGATCAGCTGCTGCTGACGAGTCGACACGCAGCTCTGCATGATCACCTGCAGTGGTGAGCAGAGCAAAACACACTTCAGGTTAGAATATCACACGTAGCTATTTTAATTACCTCTCAAACTACCTAAACTAGTTATAGATATGTTTAGTTTTACTGTCGGGTCACTCATTACTGGATCCGCGAGCTGCATGATACTGATGGGCTGTCAGGAGAAGGAGAGAGCGCTCCGTTTATTATTCCTGTGTACTGTACACTTTTGAATAATGTAGTTAATCTACTATAATTAGTTTGTTTAATATCGAATCCTATCAATTTGTTTTAAAGTTCAATAAATAACAAAGAAGACCTTTGACCGGCACTTTTCTAATTTTGTCCGGAAGATATCAACTTTAACGGACATTTTGACAGGCAAAAAATTATTCTAACGGGAACTCTGAATCCCTGCACATTTTATTAGGCTAAACACGTGGTTGGGAAGTGCTGGCTGAAGCCCTGACAAAGTCATTGCTCTGAGCTGATTTTAGAAAATTGGACACAATGACACCATTGGTCCTGCACATACTGCACGTCACTGATTAACCTCACCCTCACACAGAACACTGCTAAGTGCCGGACTTATTATTAAGTGGCTTGTGACCTTGTGTGAAAATTATTTTGAGGAGGATGACAAATTCTCTCCAATCCCATGATGGACTTGCCAGCAGCAAAACACAAAAAGTTATTATTAGATCCCCAGATGTTTCACTTTCTTCTCCTCTAAACTACTGAAAAATGTTTTGCTCATATCGACACACCCAACAGCAAAATAAAGTTTTCTTTCCAGAGTAGAAACAGTCTCTTATGCACACACAATCCATCTATCAATCATTACCCTGAACGGGCAACAGAGAATGATGTATCCTCCTTTAAATAGACACATACCTGTTCTTCTGTTGATATAGGATTAACCACGGTGAGAAGTTTGAGGCTAAATAGAGTTGAGACAATAGTCCGACAGCATCTTGTCCTCCACCTTCTCTAATCTTTACAAAGCACACAGGAAAAAAAATCATTCAGAGGCTGCACCCATGCCTACCTCACACCTTGTACCTTACCTAACCCCCACAAATGTTGCAATGAACGGAGGCCTATCTGAGCATGTGTATCCACAGGGCAGGGCCTGCCTCTGAGTAAAGGCAGGAAACACAGTCATTATTATACAGCACACAAACTAATGCCACACGCCGCTTGAATACTCCCTGAGCTGCACTTTATCTTGCAAGATATGTTTACTCAACAGGGAAACAGGGAAGATGGCTGAAGAGCAAATAATCCATGTTTGCATTGTGTAGCTGTAAAAACAGAGGACCAACTCTCCATGAATAACTTCCTACAATGATTATTCACCCTCTACATTATTTCCGCACAACAATACCTCAACTAATAGGGAGCAGAGAAGCTTGACTGAAGTCCCATCAGCTGTTTCCAACATGTCACCAGCAGCAATATGCTGTGACAGAAGACGACATAAATGATTGTGACTGCATGTAAATCCATTAAATAGAATCAGAGTTTATGCTCTGACAGACATGCTTTATCCTGTTGTCAGACGAATGCAGTTAAAACCCTAATGCCTTCTGCATACAATTACAACGCAAACACGTCTGAAGCTGCAGCAATGCTTCCCTAAAAGGAATTACAGCATAATACTACATCTCTAGAGAGGACAATGTAATAAACTCACTCTTTGTGTAGCAGATGTGGCACAAGACAAGTGTAACAGTAGACTTTATGCACCAAGCTAATTGAAGTAGAATACAATGATGTGATCATGGATTGGGACGTTTAATACTTAACCTCATTTAACAGTTCAGTTAAAAATGTGTTTAATCATTGCTGCCGTTTTATCAACCCTACGCACTTCATTTGCTGTGTCAAACGTTTTCCCACTGCTGAGTATATCAGATGGTCATCAAATGATCATATTAAGATTTAATGACAGAAATACAGAGATCATCCGAACGGGAAAAGTTGAAAAAGAACATTAGCA